TTGAATTACCTGAAAGAGTAATTACGACTTTCAGAAACTAAACTATAACTTTTAAAAAAAGTAGAATGAGTAGATTTTTAAATTTTAAAGTGGGGTTGTAGAGCAAAGACCCCCAGAACCTGGTCAGGTACACACAAGTTTAATTAGATGGTTAGCAAGTCAGATAGGGAGTCTGATAAAAGACACTGCTAGAAAACAAAGCAAGATAGAACCTTCTAGTAACTTCAAAAATATTGGTTCCTCTACAGTACATGAAAACTACAGTATTTTAATATTTCTAGTTGTAAATTCCATTATGAAGACCCTCTTCACTCAATCTGTTGACAAAGCAAAGAGAACTACACACATTTCTAGCCACAAATGAGTTTGCATCAGATGTTAAGAGTATCTTTAAAAATTATTTTTAAACATCAAATTTACTTTTGTGACAAATTCTTTATTACTTAAAAAATTGTAATTGATTAAAAGGCATTTTACCATTCTTTGGCATGGTGGTGAAGAGGTACATCAGGTTTGAATTTTCTATATGGCAGATTTTGTGTCATCATGTCAACTGACTCAAGAAGTTCCATTAGACTGAAATACTAAAGAATGGAAAATTTAAAGCTCTTAAATGTTTCAGGATTTTTGGTCAATTATTGAAGATGAAAGCTAAAATTACAAATTTTTAAAAATGTTATATAATTATGAATTTAAAAAATTAAATTTTAGTTGTTATCAAAACAATTTAAAATTTCATCAAAGAAAATCACCTGTGGTTTATTAAACTCAATTGCTATGTTATGTAACTCAACATCCAGGTTTATTTTCGGGTGAGAAAAGTCAAGATCTGATCGGCGATTCATCTGAAGTTTGGCATTAGCAGATATAGGGCGAAATACTAGAAAATAATACAAATTGAAAAAATTAAATAGAGTTGTATTACAAAGTGTCAACACAAGCTAGAAATACTTATTTTCATCTCTTTTATACCACTTCTGCAGTTCCCAAATATCTACACTGCTGTCTTTTGGTTAGACGAACTGTTCTTTAATTGGTGGGTAAGAATTTATTTTAATTCTAGATTTAACTTAATTTTAGAGAATGAACATTAGAAACAAGAGGTACCAGCTCCTTTAATCCTAGCATTTGGAAGGCAGAGACTGGAGGATATCTGTGAGATGGAGGTCAGCCTGGTCTACACAGGTCAGCCCAGGAAGACCTGTCTCAAAAAGCAAGAAAAAACAAAAACAAAAACAAAAAACATTAAGAGGAAGATTATATTTAATACTGATTTCTTTTTTACGATAATTTCTCTGGATACTCCTATTCTTCCTTTCAAATTGTAAAAGGTGGGGAAAGAAATGAGTTTGTCCAAGATTATCTGGATCAAAAGATAGTACCAGAAAATAATAATAAAGGTACAGAGGGAGAGCAGTGATCATATCACCTAGAAAACTATTAAATTATAATCTATGTCTTACATAATGGTATGTTCCTCTCATTTTAGTTATTTCTAAGGACTAGCACATTTTTATACTTTAAGCATACATGTTTATCTGAATACAAACAAATACTTGAAGATCATGGATCTATAAATCAGTAATCTGCCACCTTTCCTCTGTCCTTCACCTTTATGTCCTCAGTTCCAATCTTACCCTGCAAATAATAAGTGCTATTTTATTTTTTAACTTAATTTTTTTAAAGATAAAAACATAAAAGTTATACATAATGAGATTTGTGTACTATTTCAACACATGTATACAATGATATACATTGTATAACATTAAAATTGCTTCAAACCCATGAATCCCCTTAAAAGTTTCATTATTTTTGTTTGTTTTTTTGAGACAGGGTCTTGTCGCCCCAGCTGGCCTGGCTTGGAACTCATTATGCAGACCAGGCTGGCCTCGCTCATACATTAAACAGGTCTGCCTCAGCCTCCCAGTGCTGGGATTAAAGGCCAGGACTACCATAACCAGCTTCATTCTTTATAAAAATTTCTTCTTTTTTTTTTGGGGTATTTTTGAGGCAAGGTCTCCCTGTAGCCCCAGCTGGCCTGGAATTCACTATGAAGACCAGGTTGGCCTCAATCTCACAGAGATCCACCTGCCTCTGCCTTCTGAGTGCTGGGATTAAAGTCGTGTATCACCATGCACAGTATGATGCATGGTTATCTTTTTTTTAAAGAGGATTTATCTGTTTTTAGAAGATTTTTTTTTTTCTTTAGAAGATGTATTGGCTACATGCCCAGGCAAGTCAGAAGAGGGCATAGAATCCCTTGGAGCTGAAGTTACAAGCATTAGTGAGTTGCCCCATGAGGGTTCTGGGATTCAAGCTCCTCTGATACTCATAACTGACTAAGCAGCAAGCACTCTTAACCAACTAAACCATCTCCCTAGTCCCATTTTCTAGCTTTTTGAAATATACGTTGTTACCTATAATCACTCTATTATGCAGAGAGTACACCAGAGTTTTTTTTGGTCCTATAGAAACCTAACTTTGTAGCCCTTGAGAACCTTTTCCCCATTTCACCTCCAACCCTACCTCTCCCATTATCAACTATTTAACATTCCCTGCATTCACTCTCAACTCCTTTGCCCTTCTTACTCTATCAGTTCTTGCTCAGCACTTACTGCATTTATCTGCACTAAACAGGTAAATGTGGCTAGAAAAGGAAACATGACAATCATACTCACTAGTCTCACTTTAATTTTGCAAATCTTAGGCCAGGCGAGATGGCATACACGTTTAGTCTCAGCACTGAAGACCCAGAGGCACAAAATGGGGGAGAGGGTAGGAGGGAAGGAGAGAGGAAGAGACTTACCCAGTTCCCCTTCCCTCCCTTAGCAGGTATGCAGCTATGTATCTGTGAATTTGAGGCCAGCCTGGTTTACACAGCACCCTCCTGCCAGGGCTACAAAGTGAGACCTGGTCTCAAAAAAAAAAAAAGGGAAAAGCTTGTGAATCTTAAGTGGACCCTCAAATCTATAAGGGAATCACACAAATTACTTCCCATCCTTACCCTGCTAAAAAATCAATCATGAATTAATTTTTTAAAATTTTGCTTAAGGCTTATTTATTTCTCTATCTACATTTGCATTGGCCAATTCATTACACAGTCTGTTCTTGTAAAGTCAGTTAGTCGAGAATGATTTTTCCATTTTCAAAGGATTGTTTTAGATAAACAAAGAAAGATATGTCTCAAAGACTCTATATGGCCTGCAAAATGTAAAATATCTAACTTACCACCTGGCCCTATAGAATATGTCTATCCTACTTTAGGCCCATGAGTTTTCAAATTTGAGGAGTCATCAGAATCACCTGCAGAGCTTGTTAAAACATCAAATGTTGAGCCTCACCCCAAGATTCTGATGAGAAAAGCCCTGGGTAGGCCCAGAAAGTGAATTTTTAACAAATTTTAAGTGAAGCAATTGCTCCGTGTTTGAACTATACTAAAAGTGCACAGCTGTGTTCAGCTCACTCTCTTCTACGTCACTACCTCGCAGTCTCTTCTCTCTCCAAAACCTACAGTACCTAAGACATTTTAAAAATACATATATATATATATATATATATAACTAAAAGTTACTTGACAAACAGAAAAGCCAGACAGGCAGATACCTTCA